TTTTTTTTATTTCTTTGTTTTCACATATTGTCAGAAGGTTTCACAGATGATAGCAATCGTGGAACGTCTACATAACATCCATTTGTTACATCAGTTTTATATTAATGTATATTATTGTATATGTGTCATATACATGCAGTTCTACGCCTGATATCTCCAACACTCAGCAACTCACACCAAAAACAATCTAGATTGATAAATAGCACTACTTTAATATATATTTTGATTTTGGGATGAACTGGCCTTTTAAAGCTTCCACCCTTCTCCTTGGCTTTAAATGTTTAATCTGCAAATTATATTATCTTAAGCATATCACCAGGACGGCTGCTGGCTGCACTGTTACAGTACCTGTTATTTCTAATGCGGCTGCCTTAAGCCATCAAAACAGCCAAGTGTTGCCAAGGAAACAATCTACAGTCTGTAATAGAAAACACACAGTAGATGCTCTGGACAAACTGTATACACGCGATCACTGTGAATGTCACATGCAGAGAGAATTATTTCTTAAAACATGGACAGATAGATAGGGGACTGGCTGTCTTGTTAAACCTTAAAATGCACCAAATCTCCAATAAACAGCATCTGCACTAATGACAGTGTAAAGCATAGAAAGCAGCGTTCCACTGTTCCTCAGCCACTACAGTAGAATGAGTACAGAGCCGCAGTGGAAGTGAGGCCTGTGCGTGGGTGAGAGGCGCTGCTGATGCTACTGCAGCTGGTCCTTTCCCCGCATTCTCTTTTTATAGCCAAACTGCTCATTTGTGTCTCTTTGACGTCACACACACACACACACACAGAAAGAGAGAGAGAGGGGGAGAGAGAGAGAGACATTGAGCTGAGCTGATCAGTTCAGTCTCTTCCCCTCTGTGATTCATATATAATTAGTCAGAATAGCGGTGCAATTCTCCTGCTGTCAGTCTCTGTTATTGTCTGTCAAATTTTCACTCTGGCCTCTAGTCTGAAGGCAGTAAATGCTCACAAGCTTGACACATAGTGCTGTATTTGCTCCAGCTCGTACTAACTACTGTTGAATAGAAGCCATCACCAATGTTTGTTGGGTCTGTAATGATTTTGTACCGTGAACAATAATGTGAGTGCTAGCATTCGCTAGCTAGCTAACTTGCTCCAAGCTACGGCAGCACATTTTAATCAGCATTGACAATGTGGCATAAGTTTGGTTGATATGTAGGCTAATGGGCTCCTTCATAATTTTGTTATGTCCTGTCCATGAAATGGATGGTCATAACAAAAAACCTTTTATCCAGCAAAAAGCGATGAAATAGATAAATATATTGACTCACCCTGTGGTGGAAAATGTAATTTTCGTAATCATGTAATTTTTTCCCCCTACTGATTGGATTTACTTCAGATTTGCACTAATATCTGCCCTGATACCTGCTCTACACCTCAAAGCAATATGAGCTTAGTATATATTTATTATAAAACTAGAGCCGCTTTTTTAAAGACTGTTACTTAAATGTCCAGTGTGTAGGATTTAGTGGCATCTTGTGGTGAGGTTACAGAGCTGAAACATCTCCTGTGTGCAAAGCATGTAGGAGAACTACAGTGGCCAGTGTGAAAACTCAAAAAATGTCCCCGTCTTGAGCCAGTGTTTGATTTGTCTGTCATGGGCTACTGTAGACAAACAATATGGTGGACTCCATGAAAGAGGATCTGCTTTGTATGTACACGGGACAAGATTTTAAACACAGCACTTTATTTCTTGCTCCAGTTTTTCACAGGTTTAAGTTATAGAACTGGGACTTTTTTCATGCACTCAATAGATGTATTTCTCTCAAAGTTTGGGAACAAATTTGTTAAAATCTGTGTTAGTGAGCGCTTCGACTTTTCCAAGATAATCCATCAACCTGATTGCGGGTGATAAAGAACCTGATTAAACAGCATCGTTATTACACAGGTGTGCCTTGGGATGGGCACAGTAAAAGGCCACTCTAAAATGTGCAGTTTAATTACACAACATAATACCACAGATCTCGCATGTTTTGAGGGAGCTAGCTATTGGCATTCTGACTGCAGGAATGTCCACCAGAGCTGTTGCCCATGAACTGAATGTTCATTACAATACCACAAGTCATTTTAAGGACATTTCTTCAATTTTGACACAAATGTCCCCTTGGATTCAACTATCACCTGATTAGATTGTGGTGCTCAAAGGTCAAAGGTCACTGTGACCTAAAATCTATCTCATTCTCTTTAACACAATAACTCCAGAACACCCTCAGGAAAGTTTGTTCAAATCTGACACAAACATGCACTTGGACTGAAGAATGAACTGATGAGTTGACGTCATATCTCAGGAACAGAAGGGGAGACATCTGGTCAGATACTGAATTGGTGACACTAATCTTGGGTGTCCACCGTGCTGACTGTATGGATCTTCTGTGCTGTCAGGGGAAGATGTGTGTGAAGCATCCATGCTTACATAGACACATATGTAAACTGTAAGAGAAACGTGACTGGTGTGCATAGGCACAAACGCAAGGTGGTAATTCTAGTTTACCCCTGACTTTCAGCCACATTTTCAGTCATCTGTCATCGTCATTTTAAACAACAAATTTCACTTCTGCCTTATATGATGCACTGAGTAAAATACAAAATCACATTTCTTTTGCACCTTTTCATGTGGGCTAGAGAACGGCATTACTTGGTCTCTAGAAAGAGGCAAAGAGCTGCTGCCTGTTGCAATGAACACTATAGACGGGGACCAAAATCAGTCAATAGTGTAATAGAGTACACACAATCTAATTACTCAGAAAAGTGTGAGGTTAGTTTTAAAGATTTTGAAGGCCACATTTGTTATAGATCCCTGTGTTTCCTGACATTTGAGTTGGTCACACACAGGTGTAACTAATGACATTAATAATGACTGTATCCTGATACAAGTGTGCCGACAGTTCCAAGGTTTTGGTGTTGTGCCTGCTGGTTCTCAGTCATGGCTTAGTGACACAGCTAAATGGAGCAGAGTCTCATTACTGTTATTAGTTCCACCTGCGCTTCTCTTTTTATGAGTAAACATGTCCACTGTGAGAGAAGGCTGTGGTAACGCAGGCATGCATGAAAAGCTGTTACCTGTTGTTTTACTGGCTAACTCTCTGTAATTTGGGTATCATTATCATCCATAATGTTGAAAAGAAGAAACAAAACAGAAACTCTCATGATAAATGTTTCTTAATGTTTGCTGGTTCCACTGTTAGGAAGAACACCTGTACTAGTCCATAATGAGCCATTTTGAAATAAGCAAATATTAACTCATAACTTATTTTTATTATTTTCAGAATTACTATCAGTGACTCACCATATCTGATATAATTTACCTGCTATTTAATAACAACATATTTTTCTCATATGTCACATTTATATCAAATGAATCATAAGTGTCCATGTCAAACTGAGAAAAACAGTTATAAGAAAGTTGTTATTAGCCAATTGCACCAATTAACCACCCTTAAACTGCAGGCCTCTTTATTGATTCCTTTTATTTGCTGTTTTCTCTTTGTATTTCTCTGTTTTCTCCTTTAGACATGGAGAAGTGTGAGAAAGACTATGGATAAAATCTGACACAGTCTACACACTGTGTATAATTACAGCACAGTACTGTAGTAGTTGTAGTACTATTTTATTTTAAGGCTTTAAACATTTTTACATGTAATTTACACATTATTACTTCAGGTAGTTAGACAGTGTTTTTACTGTGAGGACACATCTAATCAGTCTCTGCTGTTTTTCTAGCAGCTTTTTAGACACCAAACGTGGGTGTTTTTTGCAACCTGTCACTTTTTTCCAGCAGACTTTTATGTACCTAATGTGGGTGTTTTGTAGTGATCTGTTGCTGTTTCTAAAGCAGGGATGGTGCCAGACAAAATGGTAGTTTATGACTGAGATATAATTGTATTTTTTGCTGGGATAGTGACACAAAAGCAGTTTTTTTTTTTTTTTTTTTTTTTTGTTTTTTTTTTACAGACATTGCTGCTTTTCCAGCAGGGATTGTACCCACAAAACCAGTGATTTTAAGCCTTGGTCATTTTCTAACATAACAAACATAAAGAAACATTAGGTTTCATGTAAGGTTTTATGTATACATAATAATGTGCAAATGTAATATATTCGTGGTTTGCAGAAATGTACAATGGCAACATTTTTTCTGGTGACTGGGTTGCCATTGTATTGAAGTAGAGGGGGATATCTCAGAATGGATTAATAAAACCAAAACTATCAGCCTGCATAGATAACATAGAGGGGATTCCAATTTGATTTTTTTTTTTTTTTTTTTACATTTATTTATTTATTTAATTTGTAATTTGATTGAACCTGATCCTCTTATATCTCTTGCCATCATTTTGTATTCCGGGAACCTCTGTAAACTCGAGTGCTATGACTTTCTGTTTATTTGTAAATATAAGTTTGTTCAGTTCATGTATTTGTATCCAGGCAGTTATTGTCAGTAAAACCAGTCAGTATCTTAACCCATATAACAAAGTCTTTGTCAATTAATGCACAGGCCCTCAGGTCAGATCAGTGCAGACACATATAAGCACACACACACACACACACACACACATGCACGCACACCCATACACATACACACTCTCCTGTGCTCACGTATAGACACTGATCTGTGATGGAGAACTGGAAAGCAGATGCATGAATTAGCCACAGAGAAATAGCACATACACGTACTGTTCCATGCTAATTAGCCAACAGACTGTACCACAGCAGTGTGGGAGCTGTGTATGGATGCATGTGTGTGAAAGAGTGGTGGATTAAGAAAAATGCCAGCCATCAGTTTAGACCAGTCTGTTTTTGGATGCTAGATTTTGCTCTGTATCGTGTTTATTTTTGTGCAGCATGCTAGCTCTGTTTTTATAGGTTCCATGTACCATCAGGACAGTTTAGTTAGCCAGTTTGGTGGCTGGGACTCAGACTGCAGTGGAGTGGATCCTCCTGACAGTGTTCCTCTGTACTCTCCACCTGGTCGTCAGGTACCTCAGGATGAGTGGGGCGGCTTCTCTCCGCTGGGGAAGGAGGACGACATCCCCTGTCGGAGGATGAGGAGTGGAAGCTATGTCAAAGCTATGGCTGAGGACGACAGCGGCGACTCTGATGGGAGTCCCAAACCGTCTCCCAAAGTTCAGGCACGCAGGGCCAGCTACCTGAAAGCCACACAGCCATCACTGACTGAGATGACCACTCTACAGTAAGAATCCACTCTCTTTGTCCTTTTGTCCTAACATCATATATTTAGCATGAATCTAAGAACTGAATCTTTTATAATCACAAGCATTTTCTTTTTTAACTTCATTCTTACCCTTGTCCAACGTTGAAATGTGGCTAGAACAATGTAGGGTTTTTTTGACAATGGTATGCTGGATTGTTTATGCTTGTGATAACTGAGGCCATAGGCATGATGTTTTCAGGTTGTCCATCTGTCTGTCTCATTCTTGTAAACCTGATATTTCAAGAACATCTTGAGCGCATTTATTCACATTTGGCACAAATGTCCACTTGGACTCATGAATGAACTGATTAGAATTTGGTGAATGAAGGTCAAGATCACTTTGATCTCACAAAACATGTTTTTGGCCACAACTCAGAAATTAATACAATAATTCTGACAAAATTTCACACAAATGTGTAATAGGATGACCCAGTGAAGTGATGACATTTTATATCCCAAAGTCAGCTTCACTGTGACATCATAATGCTCTGCAAAAACACTTTTCTTACCATTATTCAGCGTCATAACTGTGGAGCAGAAGGAGAGACATTTTGTCAGATTTTGAATCGAACTACACTGATCTCAGGTACCCACCTTGAAACTGTGCTGACTGTATTATTGCAAGGCTGTAATTCTATTTTTTGTGTGTTTTTTAACCAATGCAAATATTAATGATACACAGGGGCTGGCCTATTATTTTGTTCTTTTATTCAAAATTATTTTTACATTTGAGTACATTTAAAAAGGACAAAGCTATTAGCAATGTTCTCCCTGCATTTGTATTTTATTTTATTGCCAATTCAAGGCTGGCTTTCTAAAATGGCACAGAGCATTCTGAGGTCCTGCAGTCGATGTCACAGCCTCTAACAGCCACCGTACTGACAAGGAAAAAAAAACATTTCTTTTCTTTTCTGCTGGCATGTAAAGGCATTATTATTGACTGCTGAGGTTCAAGTCAAGCCTTATCATAAAAAGTCTCCACTGTAACAAAACTGCAGGAACATAAGTAGTACCAAACACAAGTTAAATGTCATCATTTTAATGTCTATAATCATCACAGACATCTGTAGATATCTGCAATTAAAAGCACAGTGACAAAAGAGAAAATCAAATTGAATTCATGAATTTAAGGGAAACACCACCTAAATTACAAATTCCATTATGTTATTTGCATGGCATAGGAACATTCAATCAATATCTGTGAACATATGCTACTCTCTCATAAAGCTAGAAATCAGAGATGTTAGTCTAAAGCCTGTTATGTCATCGTGTATTAAATCTGGAGCTGCTCCAAATATTCAATGAATGGGAGACTGATTTTGTGGACCCTCAGAATGTTTCTTTTCTTTTTTTTAATAGCCAAATGAGCTTTACTGTATTGTAGTGTTCTCAGCTCTGAAACAGAAAATGTTCCCCATGTCATCTAGAACATGTTTCCCAATGCGTGTCAGTGGAGTAGCTCCAAGCTTTATATATGACATCACAAATTTGAGTTTAAACACTCTAGTTTTTGGATTTGGGAGAGAGTTGGTCAGGTGTACATATATTTTTGGACTGTCTTAGACCATCGAAATAACATGCATGCATTTTGAAAATGGGTGAAATTCCCCTTTAAATGTGATCCTGGGTGTTATTATGATGAGGAGTGCATCTGCTGTGTTTGTCACTGAAGCCATGTAACAATCATATGAAGCCTGCAGCAGGATGTGGTGTTTGCCTTAACATTAGTAGGATTATCTAATTAAGGAACAGATGGGGCTTGTTGTGTGGGATAAACCTGAAATCATATCAGTTGAAACCAGAGGTGGATTTCACAATACGTAGCTGCTCGTACAAAAATGAATCAGTTTTTATTTCTCTCTGATTACCTCTGCGATGTACTCTGTATTTAAAATATTGTTTTGCAGTTTGCTCCATGAGACATTTTTTTCACTATAAACATACAGTTCTTACTGTATTTTTCAAGCCTGAAATATTAGAAAATAAACTTGATAAATGAGTATTAAATTTATATAATTTAAAAGGACCTTTTGTTGCAATGGATGGATGGATAAATGCATGAATGCATGGATAAATGGATGGATAAAAGCATGCATACATGAATGGATAGCTGGATGGATGGATGGCTGGATGAATGGATGCATGGGTGGATGCATGGATAGATGGATGGATGGATACATGGATGCATGGATTGATAGATAGAAAATAGAAAAAAATAGACAATAGAAAAATAAACACAACAAATAACAAAAACAAAAATGCTCAAAAGGAAAAACCTTAACATACTCTATTGACGTAAGATATATTGTACATCTGTAGAAGACACAAGATGAAGAACATACTAGAATATACTATGAATATGCCCAACTACTACTATTTAAATATAAAATATAAACATTTGATAAAAAAAATTTGATAACATACAATGGAAGGATGGATGGATGGATGGATGATGGAAAAATGCATGAATGGATTGATGATAAATGCATTGATGGAATGATGGATAAATGCATAAATCCACAATACATGAATACTATGAATATGCCCAACTACTACTATTTAAATATAAAATATAAACATTTGATAACATACAATGCATAATTGACAGGTAAAAATTTGTTGAAGTATTTTAAATGCAATGAGGTAGAGTGGGAGTGTGAAGATGTGTGAATTCACCACGTGCAAGGTTATTGAAGTAGTCAAACAGAGTAAAGTTAGTGGAGTTTTCTGTTACAGTTAAGAGTTATTGCTTTAGGAAGGAAAGATTTTGTGTCAGCCCTTTTGACATCAAAGGTGAACCAGTCTGTTAGAGACCGAGCTCTACTGTCTGTCCAGTATGTGGTGGGGAGGGTGGTCAGGATTACCTATAATAGATAATAGTTTGTTCCAACACAACTTCAGAGTTGTCTGTTGTTGTTAGACTGTCTGTCTAAAAGTATTGGTCTTTTAGTTCAGTCTGTTGTCGATCTGGATCCCCAGGTAGTTGAAGTCCTTAAAGAAGACTTATAGGGGTACTAATGATTTTTTCAACCTGGGCCCTATTTTCCGATCTACTTTTGTCTAAATGAGCTATAGGATGTTCAATATCTGACATTTCTCCAGTACGAAGCTCGGGCTGACCTGCCTGCAGCCCGTGAGCGCGCTATATTAAATAATAGGGCACTGGGACAGCATCAGACAACGTCAAAATATGTTCAGTAAAAGTGCATTTTTTCCACACAGATAGGCTTGGATTATTAGTATAATTATCCGACAACATAACGGAAAGGAGAAATGAACATCTGTTTTACCTTTAGCTGGAAAACAGACATGTTCCTCTGCCTGTTGCTGCTCCCTCTCTCTTCTCTCTCCTGTGTACTGAGTGTTCGAATAAATACGGTCCATCCAGATCCAGTTGGTCAAAATCGGGTAAAAATTTGGACGTTTGTTGTGGCAAGTAAAAAACACTCACTCAGAGAATGAAAGTCTGGCTCTGAAATCTCACGTCTCACGAGATTTGAGTTGTTGCAGGAAGTTACCGCTGGAGTGACCTTACAAACGCGAGGAGTTACTCTGTTTGGAGTAATCATAGCTAAATTTTTACCCAATTTTGACCAGCTGGATCCAGATGAGCCATTTGAATTTGATGACGGCCCGTATTTATTTGAACACGGAGTACACAGATATACACGGACGCAGAGCTCAATGAAACTGAAGAGTGGACGAGGAGAGAGAGGGAGCAGTGTTACTTCGGTAGAGCATATACTAAAATTGCAACAGGCAGAGGAACATGTCCGAATCCAGCTAAAGGTAAACACAGACGTTCATTTCTCCTTTCCGTTATGTTGTCGGATAATTATATTTACAATCCAAGCCTATCTGTGTAAAAAAATGCACTTTTACTGGAGATATTTTGACGTTGTTTGACATTGTCTGAGTGCCCTATTATTTAATATAGCACGCGCTCATGGGCTGCAGGCAGGTCAGCCCGAGCTTCATACTGGAGAAATGTCAAATACTGAACATCCTATCACTCATATAGACAAAAATAGATCAGAAAATAGGGCCCAGGTTGAAAAAAAAACATTAGTTCCCCTTTAATACTCTACGCTATGCTATGCTATGCTATGCTATGCTATGCTATGCTATGCTATGAACCCTGGTCAAAAAACACAATTTTCCTTATACTGTCTGTGCTGAACACCTGTATTCACCCTCTGTCTGAGACCCTCCATTTTAGTGCCTCTCTCTTCAAGCTCCCCTCGCAAAAAGCCCAGTCTGCTCTGATTGGTTAGCATTTTCACGCGTCCGTATCTTGGCATCACCAATAAAAAATAAAAAACACCTATAAAGGCTCAACAACTAAGTTTACATGTTTCCCTGATGTTAGCATGTAGCTACATGTAGCAGTGCAGGCTACCTAATGTAAACACTTGCAGTAGTGTGCCTGGAACAGATAACCATTGGAAGAAATCCAGTGCACATTGATGTCATACTGTAGCCAGAGTAGTAAAAACAGTTGGAAACAGTGTACAGAATGAGACTTTGCTCACAAGGATTACTTTTACAAAAAAAGACACACAATATAGAAAAGCATGATAGGTACCCGTTAATGATAATATAAATAAAATTCTGCTACCTTCATAAGCCATTAGATCAGTGTTGATTGCTCATTTCCTCTAGGATAGATGTTCAGATGTTCAGTTTAGAGGGAAATCCTGTGTTTCCCTACATGTACTGTGTATATATATATATATATATATATATGTATATGTTTAATTGGCTGAGTCTAATATTTATGTGATGTCCATTATTGTGTATGAGGGGTCTGAAAGGGCTATACCCTGTCCCAGACGTTAATTCAAATCTTCTGGTGAGGCATTTTGATGAAACAAAAAAGCGTTGTAGCCCTGATAGATCTGCTAAAGGAAGGCTTGGTAACTCTGCCCCTGAGAGAGGTGTAATCTTCAGTCTGATCTACAGCAGGACGCCAGAAATAT